ATTGCGTATATTATTAGACCCCTGTGGAACGTCTTATATGCGGTAGTTTAATCGTCTCGATGAACTTCGATACTTTTATTTATTTCTTTTTATCTCTCTCTCTCTCTCTCTCTCTCTCTCTCTCTCTCTCTCTCTCTCTCTCTCTCTCTCTCTCTCTCTCTTTCTTTTTATTTTTTTCTAACCGTTCTATTAAAAGTACCGGAAAGATTTTGTTAGAATTTTAAGATCCCTTTAATTTATCGTGATTTTGTGTGTGTGTATATATATATGAGCTGTTTATTTTGAAAGTGGCATAAGTCACTTTTTTTTTATTGAAAAAGAAAAGATACCGTTCAGTTGTAATTAGTGTTGCCATTAACTCGATTTTTTTGAAAAAGTGACTTATGTCACTTTCAAAAAATGTATAAAATGAGATTGTTAAAAGATGGGAGGAAAGAAAAATTGAATTGAAAGTTACGCAGCGTGTTTTGTATTATTTTTACTTAATAAATAAGTCATTTGGTTTATTTTTCGTTTTTATTCCACAAGTTTTTGATTGATTAAATATTATTTAATTCTTTTTATTTTGTAATTATTTTTTATCAAGGTTGATTGATTAAATATTATTATTTGTTTCCTTGTTATTTTTGTATTCAAAGTTTATCGATTAAATGTACTTCACTTTTTTTGTGTTCAAAGTTTATTTGATTAAATATATTTATTATTTTGAGTAATAAAATATTTAGTATTTTTTTTTTTTTTCTTAAATTATTTTCCATCAAAATTGATTGTACAAGTAAAGTATTCTTTTAATTACTTTTTAATCATAGTTGAATGATTTAATTTTGCACATTTTTCCTTTTGTTCTCATTATTCTCGGAGTTGGTTTCTTTTTTCTTTTTTTATTAAAGATGAAGACTTTTCGATACACCTAATTAATATTTAACTTATTTTATAGTCTTTTTTCCTATTTACGAATAAATATATCGGGTTGATCGTTTAGATAGAAATTTTCAATTTTTTACGCGATCTTTATTATGAGAAAATAAATGTCCTCATCGCGTTCAAATCATCGAAAAGTGTAATTAAAATCACGTGATTATTCATTTTCACTTTTATATTGAGATCGAATATATAATAACATTGATACGAGTAAATTTAAATTTTCTGTTGCTTCGTATTTTCAATCTAAATTATGGAATACGGAAATTTTTAATATTTCACGTTTGATTTTGTTATAATTAAAAAAAAAAAAAAAAAAAAAAAAAAAAAAAAAAAAGAAAGAAGAAAAATTCTCTCAATTCTATGAATTACGATAAGTATTAACGAAAAAATAAAATTTATAAAATTCGATTTAAACGCGAATCTACTGTTTCGCATTTCGAAATGAAAATTACGAGTCACAAATTTTGAATTACCAAAACTCGACGATACTTATGTGTATCCTATAAATTTGAACACAAGCGATAAATATAACCAAAAATACAATAAAAGTCGTTACAATAGGTAATCTCGTAATTTCGTTAGAAAATTACGACCAACTAATTTCGCATTTCGATAAATTAATGAATACAAATATAATCATTTTCAAAATAAACGACCTAAGATTCCGTCAGTATTTTTCACGCGAAACATAATAAATGTTCTCGGAAAATGTCAAGATCAAGAGAAAATACGAGACTGGGATCTAATCCAACTTGTTAGATCTAAACCATTCATCCAAATACGAAAAAAACATCTTAGAAAATTCTTCTTCCTTTCATACGAATTACATTAAAAAATTATATAAATGTTTCTTTTTTTTTTTTTTTTTATTATTTTTCCGAGTTTTGTTAATTTTCCTTACCTCGTGATTCTCCAACGGCAAGATTAAAGTGCTCTTCATCGATTCTCTCATCCGGCACTGCCAAAACGTGTCTAATCGCTTTTTTTACACCCTCTTTTTTGTTTCCTATTTTCTTTTCTCTCACCCTTCCTTCGTCCTCCTTCTCTTCTCACAAATAATTAATCTCGCGACGTATTAGTCTTCGACAGTCGACAACCAACGAAAAATTAATCCAAACGATCAATTTAAAACAATTTTCTCCCCAACAAAAAAATGATTTTAATTTTTTAATTAACTACTATTACGCGGGAAATTTTTTGAAAATTATCAAATATTAATAATTGTCAATCGCGACGAAGATTTATTTACGATAAAAAAAATCCAACGAAATAAGAAAAGAAAGAAGAAAAAAAAACACTAAATTACGATTAACAATTCGTAATACTTGTTGACAAAAATACAAAATGACTTCTTAATGGAATAATTGAAAGAATTGTGAGGAAGCAGCTAGCTTTTATAAGGGATGAAAATTCTTCACAATTAAATGTAAAAAATAAGATAATCTTTTTTTTCCTTAAGAGCACTTAGAAGAGCATTCACGTTGGTGTCGATCGTACTACTATTGCGAGAGAACTCTGGATACGTCGAAAGAGATGAAAACAAGCATCGTTTCAGGTCCCTACCACACCAAACGTCTTTCCTTATTTGTTCTACCATGATATGACTACGTCACCAAACGTTAAACTTCTTAACATACTTGGAAGAAAATCATTCGATACTGATAGGTGGTTGCCTTCTCCTATGGTTTCTATTATCAAATTTGATTTGATTGAAAAAAAAAAAAAGCAACATTGAATCTATTCAAACTTACTACTAGTTTCGTACTTATAATCCAAAAATTATTGCTAAGTGTGTACACATAATTGTACTAACGATTATAACTAGACTAAATCAAACAAAATATAGGAATATTTATATTTTATGATATTTTTTATTTTATATATTAAAATATTATTCCTATTTTAAAGTATAATTTATAAAAATATAAAGAGTATATATAATACACAAATAATACGTAAGTGTATTAATTTATTATTGAAATTTGGAAAAAAAAAAGGTTTAGCATGGAACAAGCTCAATGGTTTGCATCAAGATGGCGACTGTGATACTGGAAAATTAAACAATTTGGAATGTGTAAGTGTATATTAACAGAAACTAATTGTGTAAGTAAATAAAAATATATAAATACAAAATTTTACTGAATTCTTTTTGTTTTCTTTTTGGTAAAATGATATTTATTTTATTTTTTGAAACACAGAAATAATTCGCAACGTACGATTTAATAATCTAAAATTAAATGTGATTGTATATACGTAATGAAAATGTTATTTAAGAAAACATTGATTAATTATTTGAACGAAAATAAATAGGTTACGTAAAAAAAATGTGATTTCATATTGGTCGAAGAGAACGGACGGCTGGTGGCACAACAAAAAAAATAGAAAACAAAAAATAACAAAAATAGCTGAGCACGAATAATAAAGCTGAAGATGAGAATGAGGATAAGGATGATGGTGATGGTGAGGTGGAGAAGGGTAACACGTGTTACTCACTATCATTACCAATAACCCAAAGGTCAATGAAGCCAACTACCGTTGTGTACGCGCGCACACACACACACACACGAAAGTATAAATATATCGTTAATTAGATAACAAAGATGTCTTATCTAAATTATTTTGGAAACATTTCCAAGAAAACAATCTAATATAATAAATTACATCATAAAATTCTAAAAAAAATTGTCCGACATTTCTGCTTCCTAATTTTGTCCGAAATAGAACACTTCGCATATGATACATAAATCTATTTATAATAATATTTAACGACAATTGTGATTATATATTTTTAATGAAAAACATTTATCACATTATATATCTAAATCTATAATATGTAATATCAAATGACGATTGTGTGATTATATGTTATTTATTTTTACATTTATTTTAATCGTCAAAATTAAAATCTCTTACTTTTTATATTTAAAAAAAAAGAAATAATTTATATATCATTATTTACGTTTTGATTTAAAATTTAAGAAGATTCATCAATGGAGGTAAATATGTCAGTAACGATACATCATATATCGGATTTTAATGAAATAAGTCAGCGAATAATTGAGTAATGCACGCGTGATCCATTTAGTTGCACGTGTACCAAACACGTGGAATCGGTGAAGGAAAACATTGATGTACACGTGTATTCGCTTAATCACTTAATACAAATACATTATTATCATTGCTAAGCATTATCATTATTATTATTATTATTATTATTATTATTATTGTAATAATCTCTACGGATAAATTCG